GGCGGTTTCATTTTATTTTTTGAGGAAATTCCATACTGTTTTTGACAGTGGCCGCACCAGTCTGCATCTCCACCAGCAGTGCACGAGGGTTCCCTTTTCTCCACATCCTCACCAACAACTTGTTGTTTGTTGGTTTATTGATGGTAGCCATTCTGACAGGTGTGAGGTGGTATCTTACTGTGGTATTAATTTGCATTTTTCTGACAATTAGTGATGTTGAGCATTTTTTCATATGTCTATTGGCCATCTTTATGTCCTCTTTGGAAAAGTGTCTATTCGGTCCTTTGCCCATTTTTAAATTGAATTGTTTGTTTATTTATTTATTTATTTATTTATTATTATTATTTTTGGTGTTGAGTTTTATAAATTCTTTATAGATTTTGGATATTAACCTGTTATCAAATGTATCATTGGTGCCAAAACCGGTTTAGCTCAGTGGTAGAGCGTCAGTTTGCAGACTGAAAGGTCCCAGGTTCCATTCCAGTCAAGGGCATGTACATTGGTTGCAGGCACATCCCCAGTGGGGGGTGTGCAAGAGGCAGCTGGTCGATGTTTCTGACTATCTCTCATTGATGTTTCTGACTATCTCTCTCCCTACCTCTCTGTAAAAAATCAATAAAATATATTTTTAAAAAATTAAAAAAAAGTATCATTGGTGAATATATTCTCCCATCCAGTGGGTTGTTTTTACATTTTTAAAAAATATATATTTTATTGATTTTGTAGGGAGAGAGATAGAGAGTTAGAAACATCGATGAGAGAGAGTCATCGATCAGCTGCCTCTTGCACACCCTCGACTGGGGATATGCCCACAACCAAGGTACATGCCCCTGACCGGAATCGAACCCGGGACCTTTCAGTCCCCAAGTCGACGCTCTATCCATTGAGCCAAACCGGTTTCGGCTGTTTTTACATTTTGTTGTGGTTTCTTTTGCTTTTTAGTTTATTGTAGTTTGTTAATTTTTTATTTTGTTTCCCTTGTCCAAGGGAATATGTCAGAAAAAAAAAATATTGCTAGGAGAAATGTCTGAGATTTTACTGCCTAGGTTTTCTTCTAGGACTTTTACGGTTTCGAGTTTTACATTTAAGTCTTTAATCCGTTTTGAGTTTATTCTTGTGAAAAGCCCATCATAGTGACCAGTTTTTCCCCTCTACAGTGTACACGGTTGAGAGTCTACCTTATACACAAGTTTTGGATGTGTGTGTTTCATTTGACATAAATATAGGAGTGTTTCCCCATTTATTACAAACACATTATACATAGTGATTCAGAGAATATAAAACATTCCATCCTGTGGATGTCCTATCGGTCCTTAAAGTGAAAATGAAACAATAGAAGGTAAACCAGAGGCCTGGTCTGTGCCTGCCCCAGCGCAGGCCTCGGAGACCCTGCCCGCCCCGTGATTCCTGATGTGCTCTTCCCACAGGCTGCCTCCCCCACCTTGCTGCTGGTCATGGCCAGTGTCAGCAAGAAAATGGTCAAATCAGCGCTTTCCACAGAGACAAAAGGCCTGAGTGAGAAAGTCCCCCTCCCTGTAATCCCAGCCCCCCATACCCCCCCCCTCAATCCACAGGCCTGATGCTGGGGCATTGTGCCGGCTCCACCTTCCATGTCTACATCATTGGTTTGGCCGCAGGAAGCAGAGAACCCAACAAGATCGAACCCTTAGTCTCTCACCTGGAGCAAGCCCCGGGGCCATCACTGCTGGTGAGCGGTGCCTTTGCAGCTCTGTCCGCCCAGTCCAGGTAAGGAGAGGCTAGCACTGCAGGATCTGGGAGCTGGCAGGGAGGGAGGGGCTGCTGGGTCTCCCCCACCCGCTGCAGGCAGGGCGGAAGGTGGCTGTACGCACTGCACTGGCTGGGCACAGGTGAGCTCAGGTGCATGGCGACAGGATCTGTGTGATCTGAAATCCCTGCCGAGCGTTGAGGCCTCAGTTTCCCCTCCTGTGCAAGGAGGGGCCAGGATGACATGATGGTTTCTTTTCTAATGAGGAACCTTCTTAAAAAAAAAAAAAAAAAAAAAATATATATATATATATATATATATATATGTGTGTGTGTGTGTGTGTGTGTGTGTGTGTGTGTATATATATATATATATATATATATATATATAGTTGATATTTTACAGAGAGGAAGGGAGAGAGATAGAGAGCTAGAAACGTCGATGAGAGAGAAACATCGATCAACTGCCTCTTACACACTCCCTACCGGGTATGTGCCCGCAACCAATGTACATGCCCTTGACGGGAATCGAACCTGGGACCTTTCAGTCCGCAGACCGACGCTCTATCCACTGAGCCAAACCGGCTTCGGCATGAGGAACCTTCTTAACCCATCTCTGATGGGCTGTTGTCCTGGGACCTGGGCCTCTCTCCTGGTCCCAGAAGCCTCAGGTGCCAGAGAAGGGAGAAGTGCCTCCAGGGCCCACGAACCAAACCATTTGGTCTGAGTCAGAAACCACTCATTTGGGCAAATCCCACTCTCAGCTACAGCCTATCTGCTCTGTTTTTTTTCTTTTTTTCTTTTTTTCTGAGTTCTCTCTCCTGCCCCAGAACTTCAGGGGGTCTGTGAACTGTCTGAACTTGTCTGCAAAACTGTGTGTGTGTGTGTGTGTGTGTGTGTGTGTCTGTGCATGCATGTGTGGGTGCATAAGCATGTGTGCATAAGCATATCACATGTTTCTGGGGAGAGTCCCCATGGATTTCAGTCTCAAAGGAGCGTCCCTAAGACCTGACCTGGACTGGCCTCCCCTTTGGTTTGCTCTGCTGCTCCCTCACCCTGACAGGGTCCCAGCACCCAGTTCTGGCTGGGCCCCCCACAGCCTTCCAGCTGGTCTCTCAGGGTCTCGGCCTGCCCCACGCGCTGCCAGGAGAGCTTTCAGAATGGCTTCTGAATGGGCCTCACTTGCTTCCCATCGTCAGGACCCCCGTGGCCTTCAAAGCCGTCCTGGGCTCCCTGCCCACCGCTCTTCCCAAGGGAGGGAGGAGCGGCAGCATCTTCGGAGGAGAGCAACCGGGAAAGCCAGCCCTCACTCTGTGCTTCTTCCTCTCCGTGGGAGAGAGGTTCTTGTTCGGCATCTCCAGCTCACAGAGAAAACCCAGCTTCTAACATGCAAGGTCCCTTTATGACCTTGCTCTTTGAATGTCAACTGTGCATTAGACACTCTTTGGTCTAAGCCCTTCGCACAGATTAACGCCTTCAGCCTTGACAACAACCCTAGGAGGCAGGGTAACACCAGCTCCATTTTTCAGGGGGGGGGGAACAGGCCCAGGGAATATGCCATCGGCTGGAGGTAAGGGAGCTGGATTCTTACCACTGTCTGATGCCTTGGTCTTATCTCTTAACTAGAGGCCTGGTGCACGAAATTCATGCAGGTGGGCAGGGGGTGTTCCTAGGCCTGGCTGGCTGGGGCCTGCTGGGGTCTGCAGCTGACAAACCAGGCCTGCTGGACTGAGGGAGGGACTGGGGGGGGGGGGTTGGCTGTGGGAGCTCACTGACCACTTGGGGGCAGCTCCTGTGTTGAGTGTCTTCCTCCTGATGGCCAGTGCATCATAGCTACTGGCCGACTGGTCACTCTGGTCTTTTGGTTGCAATGGTCACACAGCCCCTTCCCACCTGGGATCCCCTCCTTTTCTATCAGGTTGGCACCTCCTCCGGAAGTCGGTTCTCCTAAGGGCTCACTCTGCATCCTCCTCCCCAGTTGGTCTCCAGGTCTTGCACCCTCACCAGCTGGGGACCTCCTCAGGACTGGCCCGTGCCAGGCCTCCATCATTATGCCATTACACATTTGCCAAACTGAAGTGAAACACTATCTCACTTTATCGGAGGGGAAACAGTGTTTCAGAGGTTAATTCACTTCTCAAGGATTATGGATACTAAGGCAATGGAAAGATGACTGATGCCAATTTAGCAAATTTATTCATTTAACAAGTGCCATTGAATGCCCACCCTGGGCCAGGCACTGTAGTGGGTACCTTCGTGGACATACACAAGACTGTGCTGGTGCCCCCCCTCCCCTCCTCGGTCTCACTGCAGAAATCACAACCTCCCCCAATACAGCCAGGTTCCCGTGCTTAGGGGACACGAAGGTGAGTCTGAGCCAGGCTCTGAAGGGGAAGGATGATTTGTGTGAGAGGGGAAGGGGGCAGCATTACTGGTAGAAAAACCAGCAAGGCCAAGGCTCAGAGGTTAGTTTACCAAGGGGGAAAGGGGACACAAAAGCACAGAGGCCAACCACAGCCAGGCTCCTATGGGTGCTGGGATTCATTTATTCCTTACCTCTGGCTGCCACTTAGCCCCTGATCCCCACTCCGGGGGCTGGACCCCGCCCAGGGAAGAAGGGCTCAGGGTTCATCTGCCTCCGAGACCCAATTTTTGCAAAGACGTGCTGGGAGCAAATCACCAAGAACCCTGTGTCATTCATTTATCACCATCCCCTTTGGCCTCAGGACAGCTCCGTAGGATCCGGAGTTCCAACCTCCTCATCTCTTCCTGTCCAGTGCGAGTCACCTCTTCCGCGAAGGCTTCCTGGAACCTCCCCGTCCCTCCCCCGCCAGCTTCCCAGGCTCCCATCTCTCCCAAAGGTCCGGGCCATCCTTGTGAGCAGAACAAGGCTAAATTAAAGGGGTCTAGAGGGCCAGCACCGAAGTGGGTGTGGGCGCACCGGGACACCTCCAAAGCGGACCCCTGCGAGAAGACCCGGAGGCTCTCCGCGGTTCCCGCCCGCCCGCGCGCGGCCCGGCTCGGCGCCGGGGCCCGAGAACCGCGAGGCCGCGCGCGCGCCCGCCCCCGCCGCGCCGGCCCCGCCCTCGGGCGCTCTCCCCGGCGCCGGCCCCTTTTGTTCCCTCCCGGAGCCGGGCCGCTCGCTCCGCTCCGCTCGCTGCCGGGCTCGGCCAGGGGCGCGCAGGCGGCGCGGGGCTGCCGGGGCCGCTCCTCCTGCTCTCCCGCCGCCGGCACACGCGGCACGGAGCCGGGCCGGGGCGCGATCGCGGTGTCCGGCGCCGCAGGGCTCGGCGGGGCGGGGTGGCGGCGGGCTCGGGAGCGGCCGCAGCATCCTCTCCCCCCGCGGCGGCGGCGGCCCGCAGAGGAGGAGGAGGAGGCCGGCGCCGGCCCGCCGCCCAGCCTGCTGCCGAAGGGCGAAGGTAGGCGCAGCGGGCAGCCTGGAGGAGGGGGCTCGCCGGGCAACAAAGGGCCGAGGGGTCGGGGGCGGCGGGGACCCCAGCCCGGGCAGAGGCCCTGGGACATCGTCGGGCGTGGAAGAGGCAGCGCGGCCGGGGCGGGTGGGTGGGCGTGAGCGGAGCCCATCCTGGGATGCACCCCAACTTCCCCGTGCCTGCGAACGGGGAGGGGTGCTCTGGCGGTGGGAGGCGCTGGCCGGGCTGCGCGTCCCCGTGGCGAGGGCATCGTCAGCACCTCGTTCCCCCATCTACAGACCGGGGTTCGGCACATCTGCTGGGGCGTGGGGAGGGCGCTCATCCCCTCTCCCAAGGGCAGGGCGAGGGCTCTGGGCTCACCGGCCCGAGGGGCACATCCTGGTGGGCGCGGCCTCCCAGCCCCCTTCTGCAGACCCGGGGTCTGGGAGAAGCGCCTGGCTGATGCCCTTTGCAAAACTTGGTTGAAGTGCCTAGCAGAGGAGGTTAGGGGGAGACTGGGGCAGGGCGGCTTCCCGCAGGGGGTGTCTCCCCCCCAACCCCCCTTAAGCTGGCGCTGGTGGCTGGTGAGGCAGCAGATTTTCTGCCCTTCCCAGAGGGAGGGGCCGCAGCCGCCACCGAGGATGCTTCGCTGGGCCTCCAGGACCCGCCCGTTCGGGGCCCTTCAGGCGGGGCCTGGGTGGGGCGGGTGCTGCCTGGGCACTGCCACGCTGGCTCTAGCCCCACCCCCTCCCTGGAGACGATGGGCAGAGGGGCACCTTGTGGGGCGTCTCACACACACACACACACACACACACACAGCGGCCCATCCCCCAATCTTTGAGATCCTACCTCTCCCTTCTGGGTGAGAAATGGGAGTCCAAATGAGGGGGTGCTGGCTGTCCTCACCCTTGTAGGATGCCCAAGGAGGCTAGTGGCCTGGCCTCCGCCTGCTGACAGTTGGAGCGGGGTACTGGGAGCACCACGTGGGGCTGCCTCATCTCGCGTGTGTGCCTCACACTCCCCACCAGTTGTAATGTAAACAATGAACTCCTCATTCACCCCGCTGCTGTCACCTGGCCCAGTTGTGCCAGGGGCTGGCAGGTACCCAGGTCTGGGGGCATCGCTGCCACTAGGGATCACCGCCCATCACGGAGCGAAGTGGTGGGGGAGCTGGGGGCAGAGGAGGGACACGCAGAGGGTGGGGTACATGGAGGGTGGGGTGGAGAGGAAACTTGATGGAGCCCATTGCAGAAGTTTGCTGCCACGATGCCAAATGGGCTTCAGGCAGGGACATGGCCTGGGCAGGGCCTGGAGTCAGAGAAGGGGGCAGGAGTCCTGGTAGCTGCTGGGTTAGGGGGGCAGTGAAGGATTTAGGTGAGGGGCGTGGGGTTCGAGGCAGCCGAGTTCCGCTGAGGGAAGGGATTGTCTTGTCCTTTCTACTTTCCCCGGTGCGGCCCCTCAGATGCCTTCCTCCAAGAGGGGTGAGCTGGGATGCTTTCACCCGCAGGCCTGGCCCTCAAGGGGTGGTGGGCTGCATCTCTGTGGAGGGGTTAGAGATGGAGAGGAGTTTCAGAGGCAGAAGAGCCTGACAGAGGGCGCCTGTGGGAAGCTAGGCACTCAGGGGTGCCCCTGCAAGCCCCCAGGGCCGCCCAGCAGGCTGGGAAGATGCTGCCTAGAATTTTGCACCCAGATCCTGAAATCCCAAGTTGGGGATTCACCCTGGGGCACCGATTCTTTTCCAGCATCTCCTGTTCACTGAAGTGGTTATGAGTTCAGATACTCGGGCCCCGAGAGCCTGGGTTCAAGTGCCAGCTTTGCCACCTACCAGTGACAAATCACTATACCTCTCTGCCTCATTTTTCCCATCTATAAAAACGAGGTTACTCATGCTATTTACCTGTTAGGGTTATTGAGAGAATTGAATCGATGTGTGTGAAGTATGTTCACTTGATGGAGACATGGCCAATGTTATAATGTTATTGTGGCTGTGCCTGATGGCCCTACATTCTACACACACACACACACACACACACACACACAAACACGCTTATTCCCTCTTCATCTGTTTGTCCACTGTCAGGTAGTCCTGTCTATTAGCCCTGCCCAGGCCCTGTTCTCTGCCTCACTGCAGCCTCCTTCCCTCCATTCCCCATCAGCCCTCCTCTCTGGTACCCTCCCTTAGCAATGGGAAGGCCACCATCCCCACAGCTCTAGCCATCCGTGTTCCCTCCACTCTGGTCCACATGTAGGGACAGTTCCCCTTTGACCTTCCGTCCCTGGCCCTGCCGCCCTAAAGATTGACCTTTCCCTTTTGATGCCATCTACTCTACCTCTGCTTCTCTGCCTAGAGGAGGGGAGCTTCGTCTTGACCCCCCTGGTTCCCTGCCACCGTCGTCCCGGTTGTTTTAACAAAATACTGCAGACTTTTACACAACAGAAACTTATTTCTCACCGTTCTGGAGGCTGGAAGGCTGCCAGTATGGTCGGGTGAAGGCCCTCTTCCAGGTTGCAGCCATCTCCTTGTATCTTATGGTGGAAGGGGCCAGGGAGCTTTGTGGGGGTCTCTCTTAGAAGGGCACTAATCCCATTCATCAGGGCTCCATCCTCATGACCTAATCACCTCCCACAGGCCCCACCTCCTAATACCATCACATTCAGCATTAGGCTTCAATGTATGAATTTGGGAGACACAAATATTCTGACCATAGCATCTGGCCGAGGGTTCTTGAGGGGAGAACATCGGTCTATGTGTAGGTTTAAAATAAAACACAGTACATTTGAGTGTATGCTAGGACCTTTTCTGAGCTCTTTAAATGTGTTAGTTTTTGGACATCTTCATCACATTCCCTGTTTTTAGAGATGAGGAAATCCAGGCAGAGAGAGGTTTTCCTGTTTGCCCTCCATGCATTTGTTAGGCACCTACTGTGTACCTAGAAGACACGCCACCTTCGCCATTTGACCTGAAAGCACGATTTGGCCATGCTGTCTTCAGACTCCTCCACCTCATTTGCTCAAGTCCAAAGTCCAACTGCTCTCCGACTCTCAGGGCCCTGGCCGGCGGTGCCTTGCCTTCCCAGCATGCTATCTGGTGCTGGCCCTACCCAAACCGGCCTCACCTTGTACACTGGGTAGTGGGCATGGCTTGCTGATGGGCGGGCCTGCCCTTGATCGGGAAGGGGAGCAGGCTCTGACCACCTCTCTGGGACCGTTTTGCTGCCAGGGTCAGATACCTCCTCCAATCAGGTTAAGTGAAAGGAGCGTTGAGAGGAGGGGAAGGGCACTTTGTAGCAAACAACTGCAGGCAGCCTGGCTCCCCCAGGACTCGGGAAGCTGGCAAGCAACCCTTCCTCCGGCTTTCCTCTCTCCGCTGTGGTTTCGTCTTCTCCACCTCTCCCGGGCATCTGTCCCCTCTCTCCCTGTGGGCTCGCTGTCTCTGGCTTGTTGGTGTGGCTGCCCCATATAGTGGCTTCCGCTTGAGGCCACGGGACCTCCCAGGAGCACTGCCCTTGGTCTTGGGGTGCCAGAGAAACCAATTGGCCCGGCCTGGGTGACTGTGTCCGCCCTGTCCACTCAGCCGGGGGAGGCAGACCCTGTGGCCTCTAGGACGGGGTGGGGGGCAGTGCTGGGCACAGATGCTACAGTGTCCGCTGTGTGGTTTATGATGCATGGTTTGCTCTGGGGAAGGGTGGGCAAATGGGGTCTCACCCTCCTTGAGAGCTCATGGTATGATGGAGGAGGCACACCCACAGCTGATTTACCAAAATGCCACAGGACACGAAGTGTGGGCCTCCGCCCCTTGGCACTGGGATTCCTTGGGAGAAACTGGAGTTTGCTGATCTCCCGGGAGGACAGGATGGCTGTGCCTCATGCGTCTCCGGGGCCCTGGCTTGGAGCTGAGGAGGCGCCTCCCTTCGGGTTCCTATTTCCAGTGTAGGGCCTGCCCTGTCCCCCCACTCCCTGCTCTGAGCCGCGCTGCCAGGGTCAGCACACAGACACAGTAATACAAAACCCATGGTTTCAGAATGAAGCGCTTCGGAATGAGAGCGAAACGGTTCCCTTCTGAATGGAAAGCAGAGCACGGCAGGTGGTTTTTCTTAACGAGGCTTAAATGCGGGGCCCTGTCCACTTGCTGGCTTCCGTCTTCACTGAGCAGCCCTTGCTCCGTCCCTGGAATTTTACCTTTGACCCCAGCTGCAGCCAGAAAGACTCCCACTCCTCTTCCACTTCCGTCTTTGCCTTTTTGCCCTCTTTGCCCCGAGAGGGTGGGGTTTCAGGCTCACAAGGAGTGCCTGGTCTGCCAGCTTCCCCTCCCTGTGGTGACAGCCGTCCTGTGGGTGTCCAGGGCTGATCTCCTGCTTGGACCCTCCCTGGGCCCAGCTCTTCCCTGGGGTGCCCCACCCTCGCCCCCAACATGGGGCATCGAGGATGGGTGGGTGGCTGTGCAGAAACCAGCCTCTCAGCCCTACCTGGTTTGACTCGGTGGGTAGAACGCTAGGCTGTGGACTGAAGAGTCCCGGGTTCGATTCCCATCAAGGGCACATCCCTCGGCTGCAAGCTCGATCCCCGGCAGCCCAGTCTCTCTCTGACTCTCTCCCCCTCCTTTCCACTCTTCCTAAAATCAATGAAAAGCTGTCCTCCGGTGAGGATGCCCCTGCCTCTCAGGGTGTAGGGAGCACAGTGCACTTCAGCTTTGGACCCTGCCTTTGAGAAGCTTCTACTGAGTTAGGAAGACGTCAGCACCCAATTGGAAATGGAAACAAGATCAGCGCCTCTGAGGAGCATTGGAGGGCCAGGGTGGAAGGGTCATGCCCTGGCGGGGTTGCAGGTTGTTCTGGGAGATACTCAGGTCCAGGGCCGGTGAGGGGGCCTGGGCTCCTTGGAGGACTAGGACTGGGCTGTGTCTGGAAGGAGGGTGAGCTGGGGGAGTGAGGAGGCCTTCCGAGGGCAGAGGAGGAAAGGGAAGGAGGGTGGTGGGAAGGCTCAGGAAGGAGCCATGTCTGCGTCTGGTT